AGAAACTGTCCGATTTAATAATCTTTCATGATTTCTTGCAATATGTATTTAAACTTTGTAACCATATAATTTTTATTTTTCTATAGTATTAATATATTATATTAATGCGATAGTTATAATGCTGTTATACGTATAGGATAATATATTCCAAAATTCGTCGTTTTATATAACAATTAAAGTCAATAATATCAAATAATAAAATATTGATTTTTATTATTACAATTATATATTATGATAATTTGATTTTTATTTTCCATAGTATAATAATATATTATATTAATAAGATAGTTGTATATAATGCTGTTAACAAACTAATATTCGATGCCAATCATTTTAAATAATTAAACCAAAATATTCATTATGAATATATTTTTCTTTCAATTCAGTAATACTATTTTTAGGATACCTTCTATATATCAAAATATTCAAATAATATATTTCGATACTTCCTAACATTATGGAATATATACATTATCATAGTTGAGAACATTGCTGGAATATTACAAGTAGAAAATTTCAAAAGGGGGAAGGGAAATCACAGTCATTAGAAAACTTAAGAAGAATTTTCATGATCGGTAACAAAATTGATCGAGGTATATCGTATGAAGTTAGAAGAAGGAGTGGGTCGGGAGGGTAGTGGGGACGGTAACATCCCGTGGGATTCGTGAACGGTTGAGGTCGAGAGCAAAAGCGTGCGCGACACGAAGAAAGAGAAAGAGAGAGAAAGATAAAGAGAGAGAGAGGGAAAGAGGGAGGGGAGAGGGAAACTGTGAGACAGCCGACACGACCACACCGCGACTCCTATAGCACCGTTGGCATAGCTGGACAGGCCATTTCACATTCCCACGTCCTTAATATAGATTGTTGATACGCGCACGAGTGTAGAGAAGAAGAAGAAGAAGAAGAATAAGAAGAAAGAGAAATAGAAGAAGAAGAAGAAGAAGAAGAAGAACGAGAGAAGGATCTATGGTATTACGACGACGAAGATGAGAAAGAAAGAAAGAGAGAGAAAGAAGGTTTAAATGGACCAAGGAAGAGACTCGTGGCTGCTCACTGAAGCATAGTAACGCATGCGTGTAAGAGAGACGAAACGATTTAACAACGCGTGGGTGTGACGAAGAGGAAAAGAAAAGGCTCGTTCCTCTTAGCACAGGTGCCTCTTTTCTTGAGTATAAGAAAGAAAGAGAGATAGAAGATGCGTATAGGAGTCCTCTTGAGTCCTCTCGACGAGATCGTGCCTATAACGCACGATTACATCGCAAGTGAGTAGGTACGTTCCGCAAAGACCGTAACCGCTATCCAGAAACGGCAGTCGACGTACTCAAGCGACTTACTGTTACCACTACGATCGATGTAACCTCTACACAGTTATATATATGTATGTATGTATGTATAGTACTCAACAGTATCCACTAAGACCGCACCGGTCCATAGTAAATATAGAAAAGCCCAAACGTAGGCTTTTACTTGTAACTATTTTTCGAAGAAGCTGTAGTTATATATATATATATGTGTGTGTGTAAAGTGTAAATACTTCTACCTTAGGCTACGTTAGGTTTCGTTTAAACTATCGTAAATTGTAGGCTCGGTGACACGTGTCATTCCATATCGGAATGTTTCCTATTTCGAGAAGATAATACAGATCGAGAAAGAGAGAGAAGGATATATATATATATATAAGTACTTTTACAATGCAATCGGATAAGAATAATAAATTGCTTTTATACTTGTTCGTTCAAATCGTCTCTCTCCATAGTGAAACATTATTTTTCTATAAAGAAATAAGATAAGGAAGAAGAATATAAGAAGACGACACAAGGAATAGAGAGAGAGAGAGAGAGAGGGAGAGAGTAAAAAAAAAGGAAAATAAAAAATAAAAAGGAAAAAGAAACTCATCTTTAAACTCGAACGGTCCGGTCCCCGTCTCTAGTTGTTTGCCATGACAATTATTAGTTAGCTAGACGCGAACGGAAAATTTACGTGAGATCATCATCCAAATAAATTTCTTATACCTCGGTCTTATCTTTAAACGACACGAGACACGAGACACGACGGGGAGAATCTTGATAGTTGCTGTAATTTCGAGAATAAAATCGATAAAATGAATCTGGATCAAAATTTAATTGATATCAATCTATCAAATATTATAGTAACACCGTAAACGTATTACTCGGACTGTGTTTGTATTTTTTTCTCTCTCTCTCTCTCTCTTCCATTTTTTTTTCTTTTTTTTTTTCTTTTTCACGATCAGGGACAACGATTTCTCTCCACCGACGATTTCCTTTAGAGTACCGGTTGCTACAAATCGGTTCAGGATTCCGGACGTGCCAATTGTGATTCGATACGATATACCAACTAACTCTCTCGCGTGGACCTAATATGGCAAAACACATTTTTCCAAGTCTACGGTACGTTGTTGTTCTTTAAGTTCGAGTTAGAGAGGAGACTAAATGTCGTTCGTTGTCATCGTAATACGCGAGACGTTGTCGTTCGGCGTTTCTGTTCTACTCTCTATGTGGTCCACACGCGATACTCCATGGGGAAACTACAAAAAAAAAAAAAAACTTGCTAACTCGAGCCGACACGCGTGGTTTCTTCTTATGCAACCTATGTCTCTTCTCTCTCTCTCTCTCTCTCTCTCTGTTTCTATCGCGAATCCCGTTGTACCTTTAGATACCCCTCTCACCTATTTTCTTCATCAACACCCCTCCCCCTCTTTCTGTCACTGTCATTCTTTTATTTCTTTGTATTTTTCTATCGTTGGTTACGACTACGCAAGAACACCCCCTTCCCACCTCCCCACAACCTACCATTTTTATCCCACTTCTTTTTTTATTTATCTTTCAAAATCATCCGACTGTTTTTTTTTTCCTTTTTCACGCGTTAGAATCTAATGTCATTTAAACGGGTGGCAAGAGGGAAGCAGGAGGGGAAGCGGGAATTTTTTTCTCGCATCACAGTTGTTAGCTAGACGAGTATGGTATTATAATTGATAGCCAATTTGTTGTTAAATGAATCGATTTGGAAGTTTCTACAAACATAGTAAGTTTAGTTACCTATCTTCGATATGTAGGTCACAGATTGAAACGCGACAAATTCAGCCTCGTTCGATTGGTTAGTCCTCAACACACAACCCCCCCC